ATGATTATAGTTACACTGAAACTTTTTTTTTTTTTGAAGTGCATGTGTGCATAGAAGCAATCTGATGTAATCCAACCTGAGTGAGTTCAGGTATAGTCATTCAATGTCCCCTGTCATTAAGCCAGTCATTTATTCATAAAAGTAACTTACACATAAATGGGTGGAGAGTGTGTGGATTCTTTATTGTTGTTGCCACAACTGAGTCATTTGTCTAGCTCTTTGGACTGGAAATCTCAGGTATATTCTTTGTCTGGCTCGGGTCAATTAAGTTCATTAACATGAATTTGTATTCCTTCTTTCAGAATAGTGAACCTTCTGGGGCTGGCCCCGTGGCCTAGTGGTTAAGTTCAGCCTGCTCCACTTTGGCGGCCCAGGTTCGGTTCATGGGCGTGGACCTACACCACTTGCCGATGCCCATGCTATAGCAGCAACCCACATACAAAACAGAGGAAAATTCGCACAGATGTTAGCTCAGGGTGAATCTTCTTCAGCAAAAAAAAAAAAGGTGAATCTTCAACTCAGACCCAGATTGGCTAAATAGAGGAGCTGGGAGAAATAGGGAAAGTGATTTATTGGAGAGATCAGAGAAAGAAACACACAGGATTTACAACAAAAGAGTCATAGGAAGAAGAACCTCCTGAAGAATTAAAAATCTTAGGGAAAGTAGGTGAACAGCATAATAGATAAATGGTAAGAGGAGATTAAGAAAATAATAAAGGGTTGAAGGAGGTAGCGTACGAATATTTATCTGAACATACAACCAGAAAGCCTGTAAATTCTTCACAATTTAGTCAATGTGTGTTGATTGATAGAAACACAGGTAATAGATTTTCTATTGATGGCAGAATTTAAAACTTCTGAAAATTCTACATTAAAGAAATATAAATATTTATTAACAACACATTTATAGAAATTAAAAAGCAAGGCATTGGAATTAAGATTCATTTGTGCATTGTAACATAAAGAGAACCAATGAGAGTAGCTAAAATACTGGTAGGCCTTCCACATCTAATATCTAATTTCAATGCGCTGGGAGAAACTCACCGTTTATGAGACTTATATGGCAAATAGTCTTTACATTTAAGGTTGAGTTGTTTGGTTTGGTAGATCTTCACATATTAGTTTTGCTTCAGGTAGGGTAGAAAGGTGTGTTTCAGAAGAGGTTAATGTCATTTTGGATGGCAAACAGTTTTAAAGAAAATAAGGCAACTAGCCTGACAATAGTATTTATGGAATCCTTACCAGTGAAAAAGCACTATACTAACTGCTATATAAACAAAGAAATGAATAAAACACATAATCCCAGTCTATCTGGGCCAGCAAAACTTCTACAAATAAAATAATCTGCAATCTCCCTGAAGGCAGAATATAACGTTTAAGTCATCTTTCACTATAATTTAGCACAATGCCTGCTTTGGCAGGCACTCAGTAAAGGACTATGGAATAAATCCTGACTGAACTGAAGCCTAGATTTATGAAGAAATATCCCAATAAGTATAAGCTCAAATAATTAAAAAAATTTTAAGCAGCATAAAAATAAGAACAGTGTTCTATCTTAGAACCAAAAACCTTTATATAACTTTATATTTAGTCTACAATTTCCTGAGTCAACCTGCTCATTCATTTTTTCCTTTCATTCACTTATATATTTATTGAGCATTTACTATGTGCCAGACAATGTTTCTAGATACTTGGAGCAAAATAACACAGCATTTGAGTAAAGACCTGGAAAAATGAGGAAAGGAGTCATGCAGTATGGTTACCTTAAGGGCAGAGAGTTTCAGGCAGAGATAATGGTAAGTGCAAATGCCCTAAGATGGGAGCATGCTTGGATGTTCAAAGAACAGAAGGCTGATGAGACTGGAAAAGAATTAATGAGGAAAGAGAAATACGGGATGATGAGGTCAGGGGTCAGAGGGGGCCAGTTCATGTAGGGACTTAACAGGCTACAGGAGGGACTTCAGATTTTACCCTGAGTGAGAGGGAAAACCATTGGATAGTGACAGAATTTGACCTGACTTACTCTCAAAAATAGGCCCTGTGGAGGGGAGGGTGGAGAGAGACTGTTAGAGAGGGCTAAAGGTAGAAGTAGAGAGACCATTTTTGAAGTTATTGCAATATTCATGGTGACAGATGCTGGGGAAAGTGGCAATGAACGTATGAAATGGTATTGCATTTGTTCATTTTCTTTATTACTTAGGCATTGGCGTCTTTTCTCTATTACTCTATTGAAAGTAATAAAGAATAAATAAATGTAGCTACATACATGAGTGCTGAAGAATGCCAAGGAAGGGCAAAAATAGATTGAGAAGGGGGAATCATTACTAATATATAGCATTTGAGTGTTTAAGGTGGTTCAGGCACTGTTTAAGCCTTTTAAACACACAAATTATTTAACTTTGCAATAACACTATACCAAAGAGACAACTGAGGGGCAGAAAAGTTAACCTGTTCAAACTTACAGAGCAAAAACAGCAGAAATTGTACTTGAATCTTTTTTCCTGAATCTACGCTAAACCCAAATTGTTTAGCGGAGTCAGGTACTGAAGAAGAACATTGTTGTAAATCAGTTGAGTTTAAAGACTTACAGGTGGAAAGGCACAGAGTGGGAAAAAAGAGAAAATCATCTGAGAGGTGAGTTGGGCTGAAATGGAATGAACAGGTATGGATGTGTTGGGGGCCAGGGAGAGGGTTTAAGAAGTGAGGTGGATGAGGAAGGTCAGAGAGAGGTAGTGTGTTGTAGTCCTCAAAAACTGCGTGGAAACTCAGATATGATACAGTTGGTGGTAGGGAGCCATTGAAGGTGTTCTAAGATGGAGTCATAACATGAAAATGTTTCATGGGGCTCGAAAAGACAGTGCAGTAGATGTGCTATAATAGTGCACTACAGCGTAGGCTAGTGGTGATGAGTGCAGTTGTGAGAGTTGGACTGCTTTCAAGCCCTGAGTCAGGGGCTTACCAATTATGTGACTCTGGGCAAATAACGTAAACCTCAGTTTCTTCCACTGTAAAGTAGGAGTAACAACAATAGTACCTACTTCTTAGGGTTCTTGTGAGGATTAAATGAGTTCATCTCTTTCAAGTGCGTGGGACAGTATCTGGTACAAGGCCAGTGTTTTGTTAAATGTCACTTATTACTATTACCCCACAGGTATGTATAGGATAGACAGCAGCAGGGACACAAGTCTTGAGCGTTGGGAGAGTACAGACAAGGTGGAGAAAGGACTACACGCCGGTGGAGGACAGGAAGGTGCAGAATCACGGGGAAGCCATGTCAAAAAGGAAAAATAGCTGCTTGAATGAAGGTGTGCGAGGGAAGGCTTGGAAAGGGGCTGCTTGGGTTTCACCGGAAATTAACGAAGCTCACAGGGATGCTGCCTAGTCCAGCCGTTAGGCATCACCAGGAGTGGTGGGCAGTAACGGGAGCCAGGAGTCAACGTCTGTGAAGAAGTCAAGGACTGTGGCTTGGACGTGGCTAGAATTGTCCATTGTTTTAGGTCCATCATGTTTTATATCCATATTTTCACGTCAGTAGAGCAAAGAAATTCAAAAAAATATATTGGAAAGATAGGGCTTTATTAACAATTCTCTGGGCTATTCTGATCCTTAAACTATGTATGTCCTTGACAGAGATTTTCACTTGAAACTCAAGCTTGTAGAAGCAGTATAATTGGCATAATATAATACTTTTTAAAATATCCTGCATTGTTTTAGGGAAAATTTAAGGCAGTTTATAAGGATAAATATATATTTATAATTAACATAAATATATTTATAATATAAAAATATTTTAATATATTATATATAATATATAAAAGTATAAATATATAATAAATATAAATATATTAATTATATATTACATGATAAATATACATATAATATTACATATATTTATATATATAAAATATAACAAGATCACATTAAAGGTGGGACAAAGTAAAACAAAGAGAGCAGAGGCATGAATCAGAATAAAAATGCATCTGAGGAAGATGAAAGGTTTATGCATTTGCCCCAGGTGGGCCACAGGGTTGACGTTAAGCCTTTAAGCAGTGAACCAATGCGGTACACACGCATATCCAATTGGAACATAGAGAAAAGTAGTGGCCTGTTAGCCTAATTAACAGTTTGTGAGGAAAGAAACCTGATTGTATGGCTAAGGACAAAATCCAGGCAAGGAAAATTTGGAGTAAAGGATGGAAAGAAAATCATGGCTTTGAAGTATGATTTACTTAAAGAAAGGAGGGAGAATACTCACACTTTGCAATAGAAAATAAAAACATTTTCTTCTTTTAAACTTTTGCAGTGAGCCGACAGGCAACGCGTGTAAGTCAGAGGATGCAGACTAAAGGTTACAAAACTGCCTATTTTCCCTAGATTTATAAGAAGTACAGAAAGCTCTGATGTGAATCAACTGCTTTATGAATTTGAATTGTGAAGATTGCACTTACTTTTCATCAATGTAGAAAATAGTGGACAAGAAAAAATAGTAAATGGTAGCAGTAAATACGGAATGAAATTACTATTAAAGTTACATGCTCAAATACACGATACTTACTTTAATAATCTGAATTAAAATGTAAGAGATTTGAAATTCCTTGGGAAAAACATGGGCCTTGATCTGGTGGTTAAAATTTGAAAATATTACATACTTTTAAATACTATTTCTACCCTGAAATGTCTGTTTTTATTTACATATTTAAAAATCTTCCTATTTATTTCCTTCCATTTATCTTCAAATAAAAGATGCGCAGATACACCTCAGAAACTGTCAAACACACTGAAGAAAGACTCTTGTAGAAAAATTTCACTTTGCTTTTTTAAAGGGGCTTCTAGGAGGGAAGTTGAACTCATTTTAACCACAGAATGGGCGAGGTTGGAGGTGGTTTTATTAAGTGTATTAGATGCGATGCCCAAGACAGTTTCCCCTATCCACTCGAGATCCAGGGGCAATTGTATATCCACATAAACATACTCCTGTGGATATGGAGACTTACGTGGACGGGTACAGACATGACTCTATACACCTAAGTGTCCCGGATGATTCAGCTGATAATGCGTTTCTCTACTCGCCCTTTAGCTGAGGGACAAAAGAAGTGAGGGCATTCCTACTGGAATTCCAACCTGTTTTGTAACTTGTGCAATAATCATTCAATCTAGCGGGGCCGGGAGTCATCCTGAGCGGTCAGGCTGATTGGCTGGGCAGAGCAGCGCCGGGGTGTGGGTTGCGCACCCCTCCTCACTCCCTTATCTACAGGAAGACTGGGCTCATTCGAGCAGCAGCTCCTCCAGCATCCAAGAAGCCGGGGCGCTGTTCGCACCCGCCTTGTCTTTCAGCTCAAGTCTGAATCTCTTCTTCCAAAATCCACTTGTCGGTGGACGCCCCGGGCACAGCCCGAGGTAGGGGTGCGCGAAGCTAGGGACTTGGTGGGCACGGTTCTCAGGAAGGGTCGGGCTCTCCAATTTCCTGAGCTTGGTCCCTGCGGGAGAAGGGCTTCGGGGGAAGCGATGGGAGATTTCAATCGGCAAGTCCATGGGGACCAAGTGGGGTGAGACCTGGTCTCACTCGGGGAGCCCCTGGAGCTCCACCAGCCCTCAGTTTTCGGCGCTAGCCGCGCGCACCGGCTGACACTGCCCAGAGCGCGGAGGGCCAGCGCGGTGCGGGGAGCCGGCCTCTGATCCCGCGGAGGGTGGACGGAGGGAGCGTCGTCCGCGGCGAGGGGAGCCTGGAGGGAGAGCCACAGCGGCGCCAGGCAAAGTCAGAGCAGCCGCCGTCCTCCAACTCGGCGCGCGTCGAGAGGCCGGAGCCCCGGCGCGCAGGCGGCCCCTGCGGAGACCTTCGCGGCCCGAGCAGCTAGAGCATCAGGGCGGGACCCCGCTCGCCGGGCTCCGCGGGGGCGTAAAGCTCAGTCTCGCTTCCGCCTCCTGCGGACCATGCGTGTGTCTAATGGGCTGTGGTTTCTCCTCAGGTCACGATGGATCTTGAAGGAGGCCGCAGTGGAAGAAGGGGGAAGAAGAACTTCTTGAAAATTAACGAAAAAAGGTAGCCAGTTTGTTTTACTTTCATACTTTGCGTGGCTTGAGAGATTTGGCCGATTTGTTTCTAGCCTCCAGCTCTGAAATGAATGAAGAGTTGATGATGATGATGATTTTACTCTTATCTGAGACGCCAGCGGTTGCCATGTAGAAGTTCTCTGGCTGAGCTGAGCACATCGCCTTGGTGAGCTGCTGCTTCAGCTTCAGGCCGCAGACAAGCCAATGTGTTTTCTGTGTTTTACAACCTTCTGCTTTATCAGCGAAGTTGATCGCCTGGACCGTGTGCTGCTTGTGCTCTGCTCTGTGGTCCAGTCTCTTGCTTCTGGTCAAACAGCCACATAAACATTGTAAGTTTGTGGCATGGCAGATGGGACAGCAGGCCAAAACTACGTTTAGGTGTTAATTTTGTAAAATTAATGAATACTCTGAAGCTCTTGTAGAAGACATTCTGAAAAGAGAAGACTGCAGTACCAAAGAAGCTAGCATGGTGTGAAATTATCCTGATTGTATATAGAAGTGGTAATGTAACCACATAGGGAAGATAATTATTTTAAGTAAATGTCTACACAGGAAATTTTAAACATCACAGAATAGGTTTGTTGTTAGTAGTAAACTCTAATATAAAAGGTAAAATAAAACAAATTAGTAACTATGTTAATATCATTACAAACCAAGCTTTCCAGTGTAAGAGAAAAGAAATACAAAGTGGACATAAAATGAGTTTTTTTAAAATGTTACATTTGAATTGGAAAGTTCAATATGAAATCCTGATTTTTTCAATAGTTCAGTTTCTCTCTTTCTGCCCACTGAAAGGCACAGTAGCAACGAGCACATTTAGTGCCAGATCTTGGTTTCTAAATACCATTTTCACTACAAGGAATCCACACTCCACATAGAAATGGCTAATTCCCACCATGTCTGGGGCCGGGAAAATACAAAGTGAGCCTGGAGTATCTTGTGGTACCTGAAAACAAGGAGGCAGAGTTTAACGGAATTGTCAAAAAGTACACAGGAGATGACTTGAAGGGGCTTCCATTGGCCAAGTTTAGGACAATTTGAGCATCAAAAAGAATAATGACAATACTTGATTGTGAAATATTGAATACAGTACAACCCATGAATCCTTACAAACTTTGAGAGGGGGAGGAAGACTAAAAGGATGGGAGAGGTGGAGAGAATAAAGGAACATTCTTTATAGAAAAATGCCAGCTATCATATTGGAACCTGCATTGTTGTAATTGATTCAGGCAAGGATTGTTAATGGATCCTAAACCACTCAGAGAAAAGTTGTAACTAAAAATTATCCAAAATTCTTACTAATTGGAGAAAGGAAAGTGGTTTTCTAGGGGAGAGATTCTGCAGTTAGCAACTTTAAGCAAGTGATCAGACCTGGCAGCACTCATGGTGGAACAGACTGTGTTAGTGACGGGACAGCTAGGAAGTTAGTGATGCACCTAGGAAGTATGTTTGCAAAAACATTTGGTCTGAATCCAACCAAGCTTCTAGACTGATGCTGTCCAATAGAAATATAATGTGAGCCACATTCATCATTATTAATTTTCTAGTAGCAACATTTAAAAAGTAAAAAGAAACAGGTGAAATTAATTTTGAAAATATATTTTAAGGAACCCAGTATATCCCAAATATTATCATTTCTACATGTAAATGGAATTATTAGTGAGATGGTTTACATTTCCTTTTTCATTTCCTCAAATCTGCATATTTTATACTGCATGTCTCAATTTGGACTCAGTTTGAAACAGACATATCCAAGATGTGGGACATTCTAAGACATTGGTTCTTGTTCCCACAAAAAGTCAATGTTGGGGGTGTCATAGAAGGACTTCTATATTTTTTAAAAATTTAATTTAATTTTATTATTATTATTTTTTTGTGAGGAAGATCAGCCCTGAGCTAACATCCATGCTAATCCTCCTCTTTTTGCTGAGGAAGACCGGCTCTGAGCTAACATCTATTGCCAATCCTCCTCCTTTTTTTTTGCCCCAAAACCCCAGTAGATAGTTGTATGTCATAGTTGCACATCCTTCTAGTTGCTGTATGTGGGACGCGGCCTCAGCATGGCCAGAGAAGCCGTGTCTCGGTGTGCACCTGGGATCTGAACCTGGGATCCGAACCCCGCGCCGCCAGTAGCGGAGCGCGCGCACTTAACGGCTAAGCCATGGGGCCGGCCTGAAGGACTTCTAGATTTGAAGAAAAAAAAAAAAAAAGACTAAAGAGACAAAACCACCAAATGTAATGCTTGAACCTTGATCATCTTAGAGTTCAAAAAAGGAAAAGCCTATAGAATAGAAAACATTCTTGGGAAATTTGAATGTGGATTGGATATTAGATGATATTCCAATTGCTATTAATTTTCTTAGATGGGATAATGGTAAGAAAACATGTGAAGTGCCATGATGTTTGCAACTTACTTTCAAATGGTTCAGCAAAATATTAACAATGATAATATATACTTCTTTGTATAGATAAAGAAATATGGTCAAAATGTTAACAATTGTTGAATCTAGGTGAATTTTATATGGGTAGTCATTATGACTATTCTTTCAGTTTTTCTGTTTATTTGGAAATTTTCATAATAAAAAATTTTCATATAAACAAAAAGGAAAAAGACTTCATAGAGTGTAAGGTAGATATTTCCATTTTTCTTTAACTTTTTTTTTTTAACTTGGTACCTTAAAGAAATACATACTTAAGACACAGTCATTTAAGGATATTGGAATAAGAAGTTATTGAGGGTATGTGGAGGGAAATGGTAAAGAAATTTGTTTGAGCCTGCACATACCTTCATTTTATTATTAGTTCTTATCATGGCCTACAGACTTTTTTTCAAACTAGAAATTGTTTTTTTAGTTAAGTAATTCTTATTAAACTGTGCTGGTCGCCATTGACTTTTTTAATCTGTTCTCAATAAAACTATATATTCTTTTTCTCCCAGTTTTATTGAGATATAATTGACATATAGCACTGTATAAGTTTAAGATGTACAGCACAATGGTTTGACTTACGTATACTGTGAAATGATTACACTATAAGTTTAGTTAACATCTATCATCTCATATAGATTCAATAAAAAGCAAAAAAAAAGTTTCCTTTGATGAGATGTCTTAGGATTTGCTGTCTTAAAAACATTTCTGGGAGCCAGCCTAGTGGTGCAAATGGTTAAGTGCGTGCACTCCCCTGGGGCAGCCCTGGGTTCACTGGTTCGGTTCCTGGGCGCGCACCACCGCACAGCTTGTCAGGCCATGCTGTGGCAGGCGTCCTATATAAAGTGGAGGAAGATGGGCATAGATGTTAGCCCAGGGCCTGTCTTCCTCAGCAAAAAAAATAAAAAATAAAAGAGGATTGGCAGATGTTAGCTCAGGGCCGATCTTCCTCACAAAAAAAAACAAAAATCAAAAAACATTTCTGTATATCATACAAAAGTGTTAGCTATGGTCATCATGTTGTACATTACATCCCTAGTACTTATTTATACCTTATAACTGGAAGTTTGTACCTTTGGACCACCTTCCTCCAATCTCCTCCCCCTCCCTGTCTGTAACCACAAATCTGATGTTTTTTTCTATGAGTTTGGGTACTTTTTTAAAACTATATATTCTAATTTGGAACTATAAAGAAGCATGTGGCTTTGCTAGTAGGTATAATGCTTGGATAATAGTACCATTTGGAATATCTGTGTTTGTAAAGATTCCTCATTAAAATGAGGTTTGATAAGTGACTTGCCTTTTGTGAGCACTGTTTTGAGCTGATGGGGATAAATGAGTAATCTAGTAGGGAGGAAAGCTGGTGAGGAAGTGCATTTCCATGCAGTGCAGTTTCTCAGAATTCTAAAGCTGCACAGAATATCTTAGTTTCTAGGGGATAGACTTTTCAGTTTAAACCTTGGCTTTGTTCTAGCTATGTGACCTTGGACAAGTCAGTTAACTCTTCTTACCTGCAGTTTTCTCATCTCTAAAAGGACAAAAATATGCCTGCCCCACAGAAGGTTAAATGATATCATGCGTGGGAAATGTTTACTTAGCCAGAGGCTGGAACATTATAAATTCTCCAGAGTAGCGGGTGTTTTAGGGAATGAAAAAGTTAAAAGTACAAAGTTTAGAGCTAAAACTCAATTATATTTGGCTATTTTGCTCCTGTCATCCTGGTTCCAGGGACACTGAAACCATGCCTTTACTGGGACTAGGGTGGGACCAGATCTGAAGAGTTATGTTTGTGTGTTTTGTATGTTTTATGTCCATCTTACAGCACTCCAAAGCCAAATATGGGGTAAACTCTAGATTCTTTTCTTTAGAAGTCTCTTCAACTCTTTGACCTTGCTTAGTGTAAAAACAAAGACATTAATTTACTTTTTGAACTTGAAAATCTGTGTAAAGATCATGGGATTCTTCTCTGAAATGGTCTTTCTTTTGTACATGTAAAAATACAGATGCAGAGGGGGGCCATCCTGGTGGTGTAGTGGGCAAGTTCTCGGGCTCTGCTTCCTACGCCCAGCTCATCAAGCCGTGCTATAGTGGCATCCCACATACAAGATAGAGGAAGATGGGTACAGATGTTAGCTCAGGGCTAATCTTCCTCAGCAAAAAGAGGAGGATTGGCAGTGGATGTTAGCCCAGAGCCAGTCTTCCTCTCTCTCTTTCTCACACACACACACACACACACACGCACAAAACAAAACAAAAAAACAGAGGCAGGGGCTGCTTGTGGTTGGTTTGCTCCCATGTCCTCGGTGGCAGTTACATAGAGTGGAAATTGGGTTATAGAGTTACATTCATTTGAATTTGGGCTCAAAATAATTATTGACCTTTTTATCCCTGAAGACAGCTTTTTGACAGTTTACAGACCATCTTTTTTGACTGTAGCTTTTCTAGATTGCATTTATTGCCATAATGGTCCATTTAGGGCTCCAGACATGCTTTCAGAATTAGATTTGCTCATAGAAAGTGATTTAATTACCTTTCTTCCAGGTTAGGTTATGCCCAGCATCTGATTGCCACTACTCTCCGTTAGTAAAGGGAATGATTAAGGATAATATCTAGGCAGTAGATAGTGTCTGAGATGATAATTCAGGTCATTAACTCTGGAGACCATGAATGATTTTGTAATTAGAATAAAACCAGGAAGCTCTTTTTAGTATTATTTTTTCTAATTGCAAAAGTTGTGTGTCTGTGTGTATTCATCATAGAAAATTAGGAAATACCAAAGGCACAAGGAAGAAAATATTTTGATAGAAATCACAACACCCAGTGATAACCACATGTGTGGATTTCTAAGATACGTGTAAACATATTTATATTGAAACTTCATAAATGGGACCATACTATTAACCCTTCTGGTTTTTACTGAATAATATATTGTAGATATGTGTCTTTGTTCTAGTTGTTATTAAATATAAACTCTGTGTTACTTTGGTAGTTTAAAAAATTATATAAATTTTAAAGTTTTGTGTAATTTTATTGCTATGTTTTTCAGTAAAAAAGATGAGAAGAAAGAAAAGAAACCAACTGTCAGTGTATTTGCAATGGTGAGTTTGAATTTATTCACTATTCAAAATGCTTTGGAAATTTGACTTCTCCTTATCTAGAAAAGAGATATTTCATCTGGTATAATATTTTCCTGTAGAGTATGTTAATGGAGAGGTAAAATGAATTTGCTTAATTTAGCTTGTTTTCAGGGGAATGCCAGTCATCATTTACCATGTGAATTGAGCCTCAACAGGCACCCTTCTTGGCCTAGATTTCAGTATTCTCCTAATTAGTTATGTTGCCAGTCATATGTTATCCATGCAAGCACTTTTCCCAGTGATGGTCTCAGCCATCTGGATAGAGGAAACCAGCCACATGGATTGTGGTTCAAATGAGACACCAGGTTGCCTGTCATCAATGGCTCTGAAATCCTGGCAGGTTTTAGGGCAAAGTCCTAGGTACCCATATAATAGAAGTTAGTAATGGATTACTTATTACTATGACAGTACATGTCATTATTCCTCTCTGCTGAATAACTGAAAATCTAGAATTTGAAAACCTTAATATAATTCTTTTTTTTAATTAATTTATTTAATTTTAATTTTAATTTTTTTGGTGAGGAAGAGCTAACATCTGTGGCCAATCTTCCTCTTTTTGCTTGAGGAAGACTGTCCCTGAGCTAACATCTGTGCCAATCTTCCTCTATTTTTTCTATATGGGAGCCCACCACAGCATAGCTTGATGAGTGGTATGTAGGTCCGTGCCCAGGATCCCCGCAAACCCCAGGGCCACTGAAGCGGAGTGTGTGAACTTAACCACTATCCCACAGGCCAGCCCCAGCTTACCGTAATTATCTCATTTTCTGGTTGCACAGTGGTCGCTTAGAAGCTTTTCTTTAATCAGACTTGGAATAAGACAGGGATTTTATGGGTGTGGCTTGTTGGTGCTGTCTCTCTACCTGGATCCCTCTTTTTTTTCTATGGGTGCAGACTTAGGTGAACTGTGGGATTAGAACCTAGAAGACTACTGAACCAATTAAGTCTTGCAGCACACACTTTATAATTCAGTCATAACACACTAGACATTTTTTAAATGTGGGACGGGGAGGGATAGGCTATCTTGTAAAGTGGATAGTAGTAAATTGAATATAGAAATAGTTATGGGCATAAAAAAAATAGTCGCCTGGTGTCTACTGGGGCCTCTGTTGTTATTTTATATGATCTTCATCTTCCTGGGCTACAACTGCTCTGGCTCTGCCTCCACCCCTGGTTCTATGTCCACTCTCTTTGGAATTTTCCAGAGATGAGACATACACTTGAGTCATTCTCAGAAAGACTACCTGAGCGACCAAGTGACAGTTTTTGTTTTAGATTTCATTCTTATGTTCTTGTATTGAAAGAAGCTTTTATGTTGGAGTAGGGTTTACTCCCAAGATTTAATTTCAATTCGGTCATTTGAGACCAAAACATTTCTGTCTTTTGTAGTTCAGTTTTTATTATTTGTAGCTTAAATTTTTTAAAAAGTCTTATATTTTACAAAATTTAATTCGACCTCATATATAGAGGTAATACTATCAATACAGTTCAAGCCACAAAGGAATAAAAATCTGGAGTTGGAATATGAGGTAATAATAATATATAGCACTATATGCCATATGTTATTCTAAGTACTTTATATATGAACTCATTTGATCCTTAGAACTCCCTTTGAGATAGATACTATTATTATTCTAATTTTACAGACGAAGAAACCAAGGCCAGACATATTAACTTGCCCAGTGATACACAGCAGGGCCAGGATTCAAACCTGGAAGTTCATGTTCTGAATCGTAGTACTCAGGATGGCACAGAAGGAATATATTCTAAGCCCTTTATGATGAAGAGCTGTACCACTTATGTGGCTTTTCCTCACATCTTTCTCCTGAAGAGTTGCTATAGTAAACCGTGAACTTAATTTGTATATGAAACCTATAAACACAAGAATACGTTCAGGACATTTCACAGTAAAATGCTGATGTTATTGGCATTGCTTGTTGCTTGTTAACCACAGTTTCCAGCGAAGACAGAAACTCATGTGTGTCAGGGGTTCCCAAGAGCCCCAGGTTCAATGATTCACTAGGAGGACTCATGGGACTCAGGACATTGTCATACTCGTGGCTAAGATTGTTACAGCCAAAGGATACAAAGCAAAATCAGCAGTGGGAAAAGGAAAGAGAGAGGGAGAAGTTCAGGAGAAACCAGGCACAAGCTCCCAGAGTCCCCTCCCAGTGGAGTCACACTTAATTCTCTCAGCAGTGACTTGTGACAACACGTGTGAAATGCTGTCTATCAGAGAAGCTCATTGGAGACTCAGCGCCCGAGGTTTTTACTGGGGGCTGATCATGTAGGCACAGCATGTACCAAAGTTCCAGACTCTCAGATGGATGGCAGGTGTTCAGCATAAAGCGCACTGTACAAACAGTTTGTCCACCTTTATCAGTTAGAGTGATAGTAACCCTCCCAAAATCCAAGTTCTAGATGCCAGCCACGGGCCAACCTTGAAGGCAGGCCTTTCCACACACTGCTATGTGATAGCAGTCACATGCTTAAAATGTAAGCTGTTTTCTGCACACCATCCCTGTTAACCTATTTCTACTATGAGGCTTTTTAGCAGTCTTGAGAAAGTGATGGAAAAAAGGTAAGGAATAGTTCCAATTTTGCCCAGATTTGCTTAGTCTAGAGACAGAGCTTTTAATAACTTTAATCATTTATGATAGTTTATGATTGGTTAAGCTTTTATCTGCCTGTAATTGAAGAGTTATTTGGTGCTATCATCTTCTGACCACCTGTCATTCCTCAGTCATTGAGACTGTATCCCCGACTCCGTGTCTCCCTTTCCAGCTGGTGGTGCTCCTAACTACCTTAGGTGACTTTTATGGTGTTATGAATAACCTCTCCTTGACCGTCACAGCTGCAATAGTCTTTTCCTCCCCTTCACCCCAGCCATCCACTCGTATACTCACATCCTGGATTTTGTTGTTGTTTGAAACTGTTCTCCCTCCAAAGTGACCAATTCAGGCAGCCACCTTAAATTAGCCAGCCATCTCTTCTCTTTTCAGTCTGCTCACTGTTCTCTCTGGCTCTGCAGCCCATTGACCCATCAACTTCCCATCAGCCTCTTCCTGTCTTCATTCACTCTCTTATCCAGCTTAGAGTAATGACCATCACTTTAGTTATTCTCTCACCCAAACTATAAACTTCCTTTCACCTCTCGTTTGTCATACACAGCCCAGGCAAAATCAGCCATCTGCTTTCTTAGTGCCTGAACCCCGACACCTCATTGGTGCTGGAGAAAATCTCACAACAGGGTGTACCTGCCACGGACATCCTTCTCCTCCTCTTCTCACTGACTATGTCAAACCTCTATTCTTTTCAAAGTTTCCCCCACCACCCCGACTCCAAACCCCTCCTCTCCTCTCCTTTTATTTCACAAACAAAATGGAAGCCACCTAACAGAAGTTTCTCAGCTCTTCTCTCCCAGTCTGCAGAGGTACCTGAACCTGATCGGTTCCCTCCTCCTTCCCTCCTACTACAACAGAGGAAGCATCTGGTTCTTAAAACTAATCACTCAGTCATATTTTGGTTTCCACATCCTCTGCCTTCTCAAGGAACTTTTATTATTATTTTCCTTTCTTTTCTGTATTTTCAGTCTCTCTCTCTCAAGGGGGTCTTGGCCATTGGCATTTACATGTCAGGTGTCTTTAATTTCACTAACGTCCTTAAATCCATCCCTCTCTAGCTTGCTTCATGCACAGGAGCTGCCTTTGCTTTCTGTCTCAGTTTCACCTTGCAATCACTTCTTTCTTTTTTTTTTATAATTTTATTTATTTATTTTTCCCCCAAAGCCCCAGTAGATAGTTGTATGTTATAGCTGAACCTCCTTTTAGTTGCTGTATGTGGGACGCGGCCGCAGCATGGCTGGAGAAGTGGTGCGTCAGTGCGCGCCCGGGATCCGAACCCGGGCCGCCAGCAGTGGAGCACATGCACTTAACTGCTAAGCCACCGGGCTGGCCCTGACCTTGCAATCACTTCTTAACGTTTTATCATTTGGCTTCTGTCTCCACCGCTCACCAAATTCAGTGGACATGTTTTGATTTTGTCTTGACCTTTATGTAGTGCTTGACACTGTCCACCATATTCTTTCTTCTCTTTGCTTCTGTGATGCCACAGTCTGCTGGTTTTCCTCCCAGCCCTTTGGTTTTTCTCTTGTGTCACCTTGGCCTGTGAAGTTAGATTTCTTCAACCCCTTATATCAGGAGTCAGTGATGGTATTGGCATTTTTCTGGTTTCACACAGCCATTTCCAAATTGTTTTCATGCAAAACTCCTTTCTCAGTCGAGTTTCATTCTGCACAGTTATAGTATCTTCTGTCCCTTTTCAGTGGTATCCTTCTGATTTCTAATTACTTTTGCTCCTCCCTGGAGGACACTGGCATTTGATTGCTTCTACTTCATTCACCTATGCTCTCAGTATTCTGTTTTGGTACCCTTATTATAAAATGAGTCCCAGGCTCAACATCCTTTGACCTCTTCAGTTCCAACAACCTTCACCCCTGCTCTACTTTAGTAAGTTATGCAGTGGACAAGGACCTTGGGCTTATCATCTGGGTGGACTCCCATCTATGAAGCTGTAAACTTAGATATATCAGTCCCCACCCCAACTTCTGATTCCTTCTATCTTGGCCATTCTTCTTTATTGTCCTTTTTTTGACATTGTGTATTCATTTCCTATTGCTGGTATAACAAAATACCACTAAGTTAGTGGCTTAAAACAACATAAATTTACTACCTTGTGGTTCTGGTGCCATAAGTCTCACTGGGCTACAATCAAGGTGCCAGCAGGGCTGGATCCTTCTAGAAGCTCTAAGAGAGAATCTGTTTCCTTCCCTTTTTGAGCTTCTAGAGGCTGCCTGCATTCCTAGACTCATGACTTCTTCCTTGCATCACTCCAGCCTCTACTTCAGTCATTTCTCCTACTACTGACTCTGATCCCCTTGGCTCCCTCTTCTAAGGACCCTTGTGATTACATTGGTCCCACTTGGATAATCCAGGATAATCTCACCACCTCAAGATCCTTAACATCTGCAGAGTCCCTTTTGCCATGTAAGGAAACATATTCGCAGGTTCCTGGGCGTAGGATGTAGACATGTTTGGTGGGGTGGGCCTCAAACTCTGCATTTTCTCTGCATAGTTCCCAGATAGCACTTCCAGGATAGGCATTCAAACAGGACCTTTCCCCCAAAACTTTGCCTCTTCTAGTTTGCCCCAGCTCAGTGAAGGGTGCTTCTTGGTCAATCAGCTTTTTCTTGCTGCTTCTGTACTTCACACCCCAAGCTTTAGAGACAACAGTGTTCTTTAAGCACATTGCGATCATTCCTGCTCTGCTTACTATTGTTTCTGGCTGGAATGCCTTTCTTCTTGCTTCTAAACACTTGCTGAACTTTCAAAACTGGGCGGAAGCATCACCTCCTCTGTGAAGCTGTTCTGCAAAGGAGGAAACGATCATTTGCTCATATTTGTATCTACTCTACTCTGCACACTCTGCTGTCAGAGCATGCAGAATATTTATTGCATATACATTTTTTGCTTTGCCTTCTTCCTTAAACTCTCCAAAGGCAAGAGTTATGTCTTTGGTATTTATCTCTGGCTTTCATCAGTCATTGAATAGCCTTTAGTAAATGTTTATATTTGTGACCTGCTTGTTTTTCTTACAGCCAATGATCAGTGTTGGAGGGAAAATGTGCTGTGGGGGTGATGATGAGAGAAATCCTTGCATGTCAACTATCTTCTCTTTCTCTATTGAGGAAGTTGACATTTTGTCCACATCAATAGAGTCTCTAAGAGAAGAGAAATGTTTTCTGCCCATCTCTTTCTCCGTATTTGTGTGTTTTTTTAGGAGGTGGATGAATGCTTAGTTAAGGCAAAGTAAATAGTGGCAAAATTTAGCCTGTGTTTCAGTGAAATATGAAAAAAAAATATACCAGAAACATATTCTCCTTTAAAGGTTTTAATTTGTAAAGAGAATGATGTTTTTAGATTATGGAAAATATATGTCATTAACCCAAGCTCACTCAATGACGTTTTTAAGAGTAGAAAAATTTTAAATGCAAATACCTAAGAGTATATTAGATTTTCTCCTTACATCAGACTTCTGTTTTCGCTAATTTAATAACTCAGCTTCACTTTTTCTTTCCTGCCTTATGGACTGCCATTCACTACTGCCAAGTTCTTCTGCTTTAGTTCTCCACTTGTCAATTCAATACTTATTCCCACTTATTACTACTATAAGTCTCTTGTTAGCTAACTTTAGGATTGGTTTCTGTTTGTGAAATATATGTCAGTTCTAAAATCTTACTTTCTGCTGCTACTGTGTCTTTTATGTTGTCTGATCTCGATCTTTGTTTTGTTTTACATTCACTGCCTAGTTGTTGTTAGTGCCACTGAGTCAATTCCAACTCCTAGGGACCCTGTGTACAGCAGAGTGCAACCCTGTCCAGTCTTTTTGCACCATCCTCTTACCTTCCGGCACTCTATCAGACAATGGTTTGGTGCTATTCACAGGGTTTTCATGGCCATTTATTCAGAAGTGGGTTGGCCAGGTCCTTCTTAAAGTCTGTCTTAATCTGGAAGCTCTGCTGAAACCTGTCCACCCTGGCTGATCCTGCTGGTATTTGAAATACTGGTGGCATAGCTTTCAGCATCACAGCAACACGCAGCCACCATAGTATGAGACGGATGTTGTGGTTTCCTGACCGGGAAATGAACCTGGGCTGAGGCAGTGAGAGCGCCAGACCTCTCACCTCCCTGCCTAGACCTATGACTTCTTACCCAGTTTCCTCCCTAGATTACAGACCTGCTGACTACATCTACATAGTGCATCCAGATGACAAGCATCTGCCTTGGGGTTCATCCACAAACTACCACAGCTGGCTTCATCCTGTTTCTGTTTTTTTCTTTCATTTGTTTTATCTTTTGGTCCTCAACTAGTTCCTTGAATTATACAGAATATTAATTGCTTCCCAAGTGGGCCTGTCACAGAGCCCTGAGCCCAATCCCCTTACTGTATCGTCTTCTTATCACTTTTTGGGTCCAGAGAAGTCTTTCTTTCCTTCTTGTGACTTGTCTCTGATCGAAGAGATTATGCAGATCTGCACTGGTCAGTCATTATGGCCACATTCTATCTTCTCAGGAAATCTCTTCTTTGGGAAGCATACATCTAACTCATCCCTTCCCTCTTCCTTCTCACTGTTGAGGCCTAATTACATTAAAATCATTTTACAGTTATGCTAATGCAATTATGCAGCAGATCTTTGACCCAAGCCACTTTCTTAAAGCAACAAAACAAAATGTTTCCTCAATGGTGTCCTCAGAGGGGCCTTTGGCAATCAAGATTTTTCTTGATTAAAAAATTTTGAGATGAAAGGTGGCTTCTATTCTTGGAATCAGACCAACAGATACTATATTTCTATTATTGTACCAGTAAAGACTTCTACAATTTCTCAGAATGTCCCATCCTTCTCATCAATCCGCATATATAAGAAGAGAAGACAGACTGAGTCCAATATGAAAAAGTAGGTCAGAACTCAATAGAAGAATCAAATGCCCATTTCTGATTAGGCTATTGCAGTAGTTTAGCTTGGACCACCATGGTAGCAGTAGTAGTCTGAGAATTGTTTGGATTTTGGATATATTTGGAAAGTAGATAAAAACATCCATGACACTGTGCTAATTGTTCCTTTTCTCTACATTTTCTCTCTTTTTAGTTTCGCTATTCAAATTGGCTTGATAGGTTGTATATGTTGCTGGGGACTACGGCTGCCATCATCCACGGAGCTGGACTCCCCCTCATGATGCTGGTTTTTGGAGAAATGACGGATAGCTTTGCTAATTTAGGAAACATGACTAGTCTAAGTAAGTATTGTTTGTGGTACTGATTTTATTGGAAGCTTGAGGGAAAGTCAGTCGCTGAGAGTGATGTTTGTGGAGCCCTTACTAAGTATGCAGTGGTGTGTTTAGTGGTGTGGGAGGTGGAGGGGTCTAAGCTACACTTCATATTTGTAAAGAGTTTGAGAAGATAATATTCATAAGCATTAGAATGCACAATGGAAGTGCTGGCAGAGATATGTGAAAAAGAGAGAGCTCCAGGAAGTCAGAAATGTCCCTGGAAGCTCCAAGAAGAGGTCTAGGAACCTAATCTGGACCTTGAATGATAGGTAGGAATCAGTTATGAGATTCTCTGACATACTGGATATGGGTGTAAGAGACAGGAGTCCAGGATGATTCTAAAGGTTTAGCCTGAGAAACTGGATAAACTGGATGCAGTTACCATCAACTGAAATGAGGAAGGTGGAGGGAGAGTAGGTTTCAGCAGTAAACACCAGAAATTTAATTTTGGACACTGTCACAAGTTGGGCTCTTTGGAAACTGATGGAAAAATGGAGAAATGGAGCCTAGAGAAGTTGTGTGTGTGTGTGTGTGTGTGTGTGTGTGTGTGTATTGGCTAGTTCATACACAATAAAAAGTAGGAAGAGAGAGTATTTGAGTGCCAATGCCCAAAGGTAGATAGATGAGGAGGAGAGAATTTGTGGAAGTTTTCTTCTGATTACCTTAATTTTCTTAGTGAAGTAGGAAGCAAAACATTTGGCTGATAAAGAAAGGAGATCTCAAACAATCCTCCAGGAGAGTGGGAAAGTGAATGGACTGTTGAAATAATTTGGGTGACACACACACTCACTCACACTCTCACGCTTGATTGAGGAGGGACTGGTTGATAGCCCTGAGCTTCCAAGTCCTTTGGTCAAGCATAGATTGATTGAAACTAAACTAGCCAAAGACTTACAACCTGATGTGTGCTTAAGTGGTAGAAATGTTGAAAATGCCTGTTTGAGAATAGACTTGAGAATACAGTGATACCATGTAGCTTTTACAATGACCCTTCAACTTTTGGACCATTAAGTCTCTGATGAATGCTATGAATCCTTTCCCCAGAAACATGCACATAAATATTCGTACCAATTTGGGGTATTTATGGATCCTTTAATACATGTCCCTGGGTCCTGGGAACCCCTTCTTTGTGATTCTGAAGAGCACATTGTTTACCCTGAGGCAGGACTACTTCAATTTTGTGAATGCAGGTAATGAGCTGGGCCAGAAAATGTTATGGTATGTTTGAGCTATGTAAAATTCTTGTTCATTTATTACGCACCTCATGGCATTCAAAGAGACCTGCCAAAAGGTGTTGCACCACCTTTGAATTGGCACCTTGCTTTTATACCATTCACCAAAGGAAGTTCTCAGTGCTCTCTCTGAATTCTTTGGTTCCTATGCATGCTATAGTTGGCAAAAAGTAGATGAGTTACAGTGTCATCTCTACAATATATTATAAAAACAGCAAAGAGAAAAATAGATATACAGTACTTGATGCATTCTAGGTGCTTAAGAAACAGGATGAATAAATGAAAGACTGACTCACAGAATTTTGTAAGTGAAAAAGAGCCTAGAAATTATCTGGCCCTGGCCCATAATCTTATAGATGTAGAAACCAGTGCCCAGGAAGTTGAAGCAATGTGGCCACGATGGAATTAGTTGCTAGTTGACAGAGATGAGTTCCTGGGCCAGGAATCCTGCCTTTCAGTCTGGTATTTTTTCCACTCTACTAGTGGTTTCCAACTCTGCCTAAAATTATAGCAAACGCCAGCATTTTTCACTTGGTGTTTTCTCTCCCTGAGATGCCATCCTGTAGATTTGCTTATTGGTGTGTCAGGCAGGTGGGCCACAAGGCACAGCTCCCCAGGCCGGAGGTGTGAAAGCAGCACACATGAGGAGATCGTGGCTCCTGGAGTCATCTCTGTCACTGCAGTAAGCCCAGCCACACTGAGTGGCAGGCTCTAGCCTGGGCAAATGCAAGAGGGATTGATCATTGAGGCAGAGGTCCAAATTTCTCCTGCTCGTGGTTGATGGAGCTTCCTGCACAAGAAGACTGGAAAACTTGGAATCATAGTGTCCTTGAGCTAGAACGGACCTTGTGGATCAGTGAAGTCAGTGCTTTACTAACTCTTCTTTAATCAGAGAACCCCCACCCCCCACCCCCACCAGTGTAAATAACATCTGTCATGGAAGCTCATCAGGTAAAACAGCTCAAGGGGAGGCTTCCTTGGT